GGTGGGAGGCCGGACGACCCGCGTCTAGACACACGGCGCATTTTGCTTGTGCCGTGCACACGCGGGCCTCGTGCCCCGTTTCTCCGCAGCGGTAACATAGACCGCTGCGGTCCACATTTGTGTTGGGGCATTTCGCCCTGACGTGGCCCTTCTCCAAGCATTTGAAGCATTGGAGAGGACGCACCTCTAAGAGCTCGACTCGAGCTCTAAAAAGCCTGTCAATCGCAATGTGCCTCTCCTGGGCGACCTTATTGGCCGCTTTGAGGGGGCACTTCGCCCAGACCGTAGGAAGGCCTCTGGGCGTGGGGGAGGGTTTGATGTCCCCCACCTTGACCTCGGCGAGGGAGCAGCCTCCCATCTCCGCCACAGCCCGGGCAACACTTTCGGCCGTGGCCGACGGTGCCAGATCCCGGATGCGGATTTCCCCCGTTTTCTGGGGTCGGTTGATTTGCACCATATTACCAAAGTCTGTAAAATTTATGTTTATTAAAAGTCTATAAGTAACTTTATTACAAAGTTGATTAGTCTATAAGTTAAAATTTATTAAAGTTTATGTAAAATTAATGTTTATTTTAAAAGTATTATATTCAAAATTGTTAAAACATTCTAAATAACTTTTGTGCAACAGAGAGTAAAAGTTTAAAATAAGCTTTTTTTTTTAATCCACAATATATAAAACGTCAATTTCGTTCATGTATTTAATGTATTAAATAAAAGAGATTCTGTTTTACTTTGTTTAATTTTATTTTATAAAGTAATTAAAAACTACATAATTCTATTTATTTAATTATATTCCATAATGTTCAATATCTGATTGTATATACTTTAATACATACTCTTATCTTACTACTTTATTTTTTTTTATATTACATTATATTACTACTTATATTAAAATAAAGGAATAATAATATTTAATATAATTCACGTATCAAAACTCTGAAAGAGCGCAAACAACACAATAGCTCAAATTACAATAAAAGCTAATATAACGACAAGGACGCGAGCGCATAATATACCGACATGTCGTAATGAGCGCAGTATGTACAATGGATCTGGAAACGTGTCCCGTGTCGCGCACAAGGCGACATTAACTATTATTTATGATACAGTGTGTAACGATGCAGCATGCATCGTCACGGCTACGGACCGAACATCGTCCGTAGTCAAAAAGGGCGCATTGAGCGCCGATAAATAATCGTATAAACACCCATGGTGGAAAGAAACAAGGTGAGTTATTGCGCATAATGGCGGCAAAGAGTTGGGGGACTTGCTTGTCAACCAATCACAGGGGACCCATTTTATGCGCGCAAAATTCAAACGTTCGCAGCTGATTAAAAAATCAAAACAGTATTGTAAATAAATAAATACTGCGACTATTACAATTTTTTAATGCAACAGGTCGGCATACTGTCTACAAAGATAAAGTTACATAATATTACATATTACACCAAACTCTAAACAAATCTTCATATTATATATTCATTTATTACTTACACGACGGTCACATCGGTCTTTTCCAAATTTAAGAAAACTCTCTGCACAAACACTATATATTTTTTTAAGAGGAACACTGTATACACTTTATATACGTTAATAAAGCATGTCATCAGCCATCAGCCATACTGAATTTTCATGAAATGGGCCCCCTATAATTGGCTGTCCGCTCCCCACTACCTTTAGACTACTGCGCAACCACGAGAATAACTCACCTTGTTTCTTTCCACCATGTAAACACCGACAGTCAATCGCCGGACGGTCCCCCACACCCGACCGTTCCGAAACTTACCAGGTGGGGGTTCGCCGGCTAGACCCAAGATCTATAGAGAGAAGTTTTACCTCAGTAAAACCGGTTGAGGGCGAGGGACGATGAAGTAAGGGGGGAGCTAGAAACAGCTTGAAGGCGAGAAGCGATGAAGGAAGGGGGGAGCTAGAAACAGCTTGATGGCGAGGGGCGATGAAGGAAGGGGAGAGCATGATGATCTCATCGACAAACAGTAGCTGTCTGAGATAGCTTCTGTTCGCCGATGAGATCATCATTGTCTCTCTTGCCGCTCGTCCCTCTTTGCGCATGAGGTAACCTTTTCTCTATAGATCTTGGGTTAGACCGCCGATGCTTGCCGATCCTACGCCAGTCGGGCGACAGCCGGGTATAAAAGAGGCCCGGCTGTACGCCTTCTCACCAGATCCTGTTCGCTGCTCGCCAGCGAACATCCTATTGCGAGAGCACTTGTGATCCTTCGAGAATACTCGAAGCCTATGCCCAGTAGCTCCACGAGCACGAGCATACTCGTGCACCGACCGAGCATACTCGGCTCCAGGAACCGCTTCCACACGTTACGGGAACACCCGTGTCCCGCCGAGCATACTCGGCTCTAGATCTCAATACGAGAATACTCGTATTCCCGCCGAGCATACTCGGCCCCAGGAACCGTCCTCCGTTTCTCCGTGCGAGCATACTCGCACGTCACCGAGAGTACTCGGCCTCGATCCTTGCATACGAGCGTACTCGTATATAATCGAGCATACTCGGCTTCGTTTCCTACATACGAGCATACTCGTATATTACCGAGCGCACTCGGCTTCGCTCCTTACATACGGGCATACCCGTATACCGCCGGGAATACTCGGCTCCACGTCCGACCACAGGTCACTGCAGGGCGCGGGCAATACGCGCGTCCTCGCTCCCGTCTTCATCCCTTCAAATCGGGTCCTTATATCCGGCAAGCAATCGTGAATAGTCGAATCGAGCGATCATAGAGTCACCGCGCACGCGCCCGAGCCATCGATCAGTCGATCGATAATCGACACCGCTCGCACGTATCGATCCACGCGCTCGCAGTCATCTAGAGACACGGACTAAGGAATAGAGGAACGGAGCACAAGCTGTACCGGGGGAGCACGTTTGCGGCGGAGGGGGCCGCCATATTCGTTTAGTAGTAGTAGTAGTAGTAATAGTGTTTTATTTCTCCTTGGGGTTCACTCTCATACATATGCTTACATTTAACTTAATTCTATCCTTAAACTTAATCTCAGCAAATAACTTAAAACTATCCTTATATTATCTTATATTTACGCTTAACCTAAAATAACCTCTCCGAGGGATTCGGGTCTAGGCGGCCAGCCGTCCAACAGGCTATCATCCGGCCTGCGCCCTTCCCCTTCTCCCTTTAGACCCTACACACACACACACTTGTTCTCGCCAAAGGTGACTTCCGTTTCCTCGCGCCTTCAATATTTCCATCTTTCAAAACCCACTCCCATTCCCACCGTAACTCTCTCTCTCTCTC